GCAGAAAATTTTATCATCTTATCCTGAAGCTAGCCAGGTCATGCTTAAAATTTTTCTATGCAGAAGCACGCAACACAAGAAACAAGCAAATCGAAACTTAAACATATCGGCCTTATATTCTTCATGAGAAGAGATCAATTCTTTTGTATTCTTTTCACCACCTTTCAGAATCGGTAAATTATTCAGGGAAGTTACAATAAAAGAATAAATGAAATACTGCTTTCAAAACACAAACCATTCAAACACAGGGATACATACATTGACTCTGGACGATGAGAGCTATAGCCAGTGAGCAGAAACCTCTACGCCTCACTATTCGAATTTCCAAACTTCCGACATTATACAACTAAGCTGCTAGCCGTCAAAACCTTAATAGCTTTGATGACAAGAACGATCGGCTACAACCATATCTATGGCACTGAGGACCCAACTGGTTCACCGAAAACAAAGTGCCACGAGGAAATATCTGATCATAAGCATGTATCAAACTCGAATGGTTTCAGAACATATCCGTAATTATTTTGCCGAAAGACGTGGTTATATTTTGGATATTCAAGCAGTAACATGCATTCATTCGTGTTAATCAGCTTAAAGTACTTTACATATCAATCTCCACGACAAAGACATGTCAAAAATATCCACGTTAAAACAAATAATTAGAGAGAATGTGACGAAAGCTAAAATTTTACCTGTAACCGGGGGTACAGGAGACGAGTAGTAGCCCATATTTTCAGAACGCGGAGCATAAGGGTAGCTGTTACTCGAAGATAATGAATCCTGAAGTGAATTTTTGATATCAGAGAATGCGTGAATACAATAACAAATTACAGCTCGAGACGGAGTCTGCATTGGGGACGAAGAATAACTAGAAGCAGTGCCAGAATAGTTGAAAGAGGGCGACGCTTGTGGCGGATAGCTCATGCCGTACGGACCTGGCGAACCGTAACTTAAACCAGAACTCATTAACAAAATATTGAAACAGGGACAATAGCCATAATTACCTATAATGAGATCCTCCATGAGTAAAACCAAAGTATCCACCAGACATTTTGCAAAATGTTAAATCTTCAAAATTAGAGACCAAACAGAATTTCTTGCAAAAGTAACCCTAACCGCAGACTATCTCAAAGTGTTTTAATACCTGATGATCACTCGAGTTGGCTACAGTTAATAATGATGAAACATTTATTTGCACTGCTACGGTAAAAGTGCTCTTGGATTAGGATCCCTAACTGTATGCTCGAACAATATCGGTACAAATTTTAACTTTCAACGTTAACAAGCAAAACGTACACAAATTCTGTCACCAAATTATGAATACTGAAATCCGTGAAAAAACTAAAACAACGTGAATTCATATTCAATATCACATGTCTTAGACATACAGTCTGTAATCATTAATTTAATAAAGTTGGTGCCCCGTATTTTAAAACAGTTTTAACCGGAAAGAAACACTGGTTTGAGAATAAATTTCTTATGTAAGTAATTAAAATAAATGCATTTTATTTTCATTTACAGTTAAAACCAATTAAGGGCAGATTGAGGATTGCACAACAACTTTCTAGCCCGTAAAAAAATTCGCAGCAATCCAGAATCTCCTGACGGTGAATCATCTGGATAGAGGAATCAGCTTTGTATATTAGATATCGAATCTCACTGCCATCAGATTCGTGGCTTGGATTTTGAGGTGGATTGAGTTTGCCGGCAGGGTTGTACATCTGCGGATTGTACAGGAATATGAAAGAGTATATTTGAGATTCATAAGTACAGTTATGAGGGTAAGGAAAAACTGAAAGTTGTTGTAAGGTTTGCAGACTAATTCGGGGAATCATCTGCTTCACGCTCGTCACGCATGAGCCATCTTCCTATTGTCGGCATTTCAGTCAGTGGAAATTTTAAAGGCGAGTCGATTAAGGAACAGTTTTAACCCTAAACACACAAATGCATGAGACGTTATTGGGTTATCGGAGGGATGATTCCAGCGCTTATTTGTAGATATAAGCCATTTTTCTTTATTCTCTTTTCATAGCTTTATGCATTCTTTGCGTCTCCAACATAGCCATTAATCAACAAGCACAATAACTGTGATTAAAAACGCTTCCTCTTCCAATAAACTCTGCAGCAAAGTCTAATAACTTCGATGTTTGAGTCCAAGATGCAGCGCATCATAGGTGTCTCAGGCCGAAATCTTCTAGCAATTCTGCCTATTTCTGCTTTTATGCGGTAGTATTCGTATATGTTCCAACATACTCTCCGTTTGAATCGAATTACTTATGACGAAAAACAGGACCTTTGCCGCAGCATCTAACATCGTCTAAATCATTCTGACAAGCCAAAGAGTCAGATATCATTAGCTTGGCAACCCTTACCCCTTGATGACCCAGTTAATGACTACAACAAAATACAATGCCTCTTGAATAATTGCCATTACACCATAGCTTTTCGTTTCTCAACGAATTGGTTTTACTGTGACATCTATTGTATCATTACAATGTGAAAACTTTTTGCGCAGGTATGGCTACTTTTTTGTATCAAATGGATTCTTTATCATCTTAGGGAGGTTAAAAGTAGTTCCCTTCAAAATGTG